TCACAAAGTGAGTCTCATGCAGAATGTTTATTCATTAACTCTGTAATGTTCACTCTGTTTTTACACTTTGGTCCATTGTTGCTGCTCACTTGATTTATTCTGGCTCTTAGATTCACAGAATAACAAGGTTTAAAGGTCACGGATCATAGGGCACAAATCGCTCACAGATCAAGTTATATATCACTCATGGATCACTGGCAGATCACCAACATTCATGTCAGAGATCACATAAAAACTGCAACAAAGGGAAGAAAAAATAGTCCCTAGCAAGATAAAACAAAAAACACCCTCAAAGATCTAAAATATAATTCGGAAGTAATTAAAAAACACGTAAGAAAGTAAAGACAATTATGATGTTAGATTCTACAATAATTTAACCCTATTTACCTCTATCCTTGGGTCCTTGGGTAGAGTAGTTACCGAATTATACTGGCAAAAGTACGGATAAAACATTTAGCACAAGCAAGAATCAGTGGTGGAAAATGACGAGACAGGGGTCAGACATTCTCATCGGCAGGGTGCACCGCAGCAAGTAACTTCCCATAAACAGCAGTGATAAATCTCCATACTTCACCAATAATTATATTCACAACTCTTACGGATGTTCAGGCTGCACATGTTCCACGTGTCCTCTTTCATTTTCTCATCAATTTTTAGTGGGTTGACTAATGAATTTTTGAGAAATTCTCACCCAAAACAGACCACCCCTACGATGAAGGAAATTTCACTGCCCGGGAAACGAAAGTAGCCAGTATTTTTGAAAATGCAGCCCTCTGCAAAATGGCTCAAATAGTGCCACTTTCGGACCCCATTGAATCGAAATTGCTCTGAATTGGAAGCCCTGAGTCTGGCCCAGAGGCTCAGTGTCATATTTCTTCAATTCCTCAGTCCCGTGACTCTCAGGACCCTCTAATATAGAATATTTTGTGCGTATAATTTTTATTCATGAGCTCAGCGGACAATTCTGGCCTAAAATTTATACGATCAGAATTTGTTTCAAAGTTTGTGCAAAGGGGTTCATATAATACGGTGGTCTGATGCTGTCTGATCAGTTTTCAGTTATTAGGTTTTCTCAGCGAACTTTGTTTGTATTTTGTTAAAATAAATTATGGTCTCCATCCGCGGAAAGTAGTGTCGGCACGGTGTCCGACGGCGTCTGCCTCGAAATCCAGTGCGCATGCGCCAACTCTCAATTAAGACTGGGCCCTTTTCCAATACTAGACTTGGGCTCCGTTCAGGCTTCGTTCCCAAAACCAATCCCCCGACGGGCCTGAAGCGTTTAAATTAAATTGGATTACTGTAATTTCTGGCTTTCTTGCATCTTATTTGATGTTTTGTGGCACTATTAGACTGGTTAAAAAACTTACCTGGTTAAAAAACAGGTGAAGCCTGAGACGGCGCCGAAGTTGAGTATTGGAAAACGGCAGTGAACATAGTACCTGGGCAGTTGCAGAGACAGGAATTGAGGGTGACGAACTTTCCGTACAACCAGTCAACGCCGACATCAGAAGTGCAGATCAACAGAGGGCGCCCTTAACATTAAATGTGCGTATACAGCAATTTGCCTGTCTGGCCTGCACTAAACAGGAGTGATCAGTGCATGGATGAATGGATGGTCCTTAGTACCCCTCCATCTGATTAATTAAAAGTAATTAACATAACAGCACACAATCCTACTGACACATAACCGACCACTCCGTTTTGCAGTATCGGCAACGACACGATAAAGTCATGTCTTACCCACCAAGTGGTGTAATTCTGAATGGCATGCTAACACAACAGATAAGATTGAATTACAGTTTCTCCATCATACTTAAACTTTCGCTTATTTAAAGTTCATTCTTTCCCATTCTATATTTACTTTTGTACCAAGCTCTCGATGTCCCGTCGGTTATAGCATTAAATATACATTCTACACCGTGAATACCTCTTTTTACGAGACTATATTTCAAACATTTCATGAATTGAAACGTTTGCAGGCGGTCTTCAGAAAACTGAACGAGTCAGTGAATCGTGTGGCTCGAGTCGATTCATTTTCATGTGCAGTGGTGACTATTAAGAGTCGAGTCAAGTCATTAGGTTAAGAAGTTGAGACGATCCACAATGTGTAGTCGAGTCGAGTCAAGTATGATGTAGCTCAATTCAAGTCCCAAGTAATTCAACACAACACAAGAATAGACTCAGGAGAAATGGGTTACTTCTAGCCTTTTTGCTCACAGCTGGGCTACCACATTTGGTGACATCACATGCTCACTCTTCATGAAAATGAAAAATGTGCCTGTGGTTATCATCCAATAAAGCAAGCAAAATCCATGACAACTCCAGATTATTTCTCGCAAAGCTGTTTTCTATATCAGGACTCCAGTCTTTGTCAGCTTTCACTGAGTCCAGTCTACTGATAAAGTGCTCGAATCGAGTCAAGTCATTTGCTTGCAGTGACTCGAGTCAAGACATTTGCCCTTGAGTCGCCAAAAATTGTGACACTTGCAAAGGACACACAACAGAGGAGTCATCGTCGCTGCCCTAGCAACATGCCGGTAGGAGAATAAGTGCAGGGTGTCGCTTATGTAACTAAGCAAAAGCTTGACCCGAATCACGAGTCACAGCAACAGTGTCGTTAGTATGGAGACTCAAATTATGTTCACATGAATTTAAAGAATTCATGGTACCAGATTTTATTCAAATTTAACTCGCACAAGGCTTATTTTCTTTGAGTAAGAAAGAGCAACGACTCCAAATCATTCTCTGCAAAGGATTCCAACTATAGTCCCAGTCATTGAAGGAAAAAGGAAAAACCTGAGTTTCAACCAAAAAAAATCACACATTGATTTTACATTCTTATTCCAAGAGTAAATATCGGTACACTATTAAAATGAACTTAAAGACAACTTCAAGGAGGATCTGGCATGATGGCGGCATCACTTGAAATGCATGTAAGTGTAGTCATGTCAACTCCATATAAGTTCCTCTTATCGGACACCACGATAAAACCTGGGATGCGGACACATTAAAAATTTATATGTCGCTTGAATTCACGAGATCTACTTTATCCGTTGCCAATGGCACTGGTATCCATGTCACAACGGTATCCGCCCAACCCTCAAAAGTGCCAGTGGTCATGCATCACTGGCTCGGGACAGGCCACATACAAATTTTCTGAATAAGCCATGAGACTTTCGATTAATCTCCTCTGCTTCGAGAAGCCTGTCACTGGCATCATTAACCCTAAATGAGCCGAGTTATTTTGGCCCATCTCACAGCTGGGGGGGGGGGTAGAACTTGGCTGTACCGCAATTGATTTTTTTTTCCTTTAAAACTTGGCATGCATGTAAAGACACTCCTTATCGCCACAAATGTGAAGTTTGAACTCAATCAGACATGGTTTTACTGCTGTGGTCACTGGAAGTTCAAAGCCACGTGTGCCAGCGGAAAAGAATACATCTTTGGCTGACCCGTCTCGGAAAATGCACGCTGCTCAAGAACGGTATGTTCAGTTTTTGCGAAATTGGTGAGTTACTCTTAAAACTCCCAAAACTCAACTCTGGAATAAAAATGCACTGCGGAGATATTGTCAAAAATGTTGAAGGAGCAGATTCCGTCCCCTGGCTTTTCAAGGGTTAATGTAATTTTTAATTAATATTTTGCTTACAGAAGCATGTCAACATAGTTGAGTGCGAAGTTTTAAAGCAAAACAGTTTTTAAAAAATGGAAACACAAAAAAGGTCATTTTGACATGAAAACGGTGACGATATGAATGCCTATCCGTTTATCGCAAGCGAGCTAGACTTGTCAAATACTTGCGTTTCAGATGCTGTATATACTCTACATCAGGGTACCAGTCCGAGTGCTGCACAGCACTGTTACTGTATGTAACATGACGTCAGTTTGGGGTAAAAAGTCGGTAAAATCCTCGCCTTTAACCCATGCCTGATGCCACGATCCAGTTTTGCTGAACTATGAGAGAACTGGGCCGTGACATTTTTATTGCCTGATGAACTGCATCCGATTCGATCTAATTAACTGAATATCCCCCAATACCGCAGTAAGCGAATGCACCAGCCAGAATTTGATCGGAAACAAATACATCCAAGATTCGATTAAACTACAAACATCTTGGAAACCACAAACTGTTTTTAATAGTCATGCAGAGAGCACACTGCACGTGTCCTCTCAAGGTATCAAAGGCTTGATTAAAGGTGAAAAATAAGAAGGTGAAAAATAAGAAGGTGAAAAATAAGAAGGTGAAAAATAAGAAGGGGAAAAATAAGAAGGGGAAAAACAAGTTTGTGAATCATGAAAACACGCAGCCTGTCACTTCTAATGCTTATTGTGCACTGTGTCAGACTCATCCAAAATGTAACTGAAGTGTAATTTCAGTTATAAAAACATAATAGGTGGGTAATCAAATATAAAGAGTGCTGCTGAGGTGTCCCAAACGCTTGTGAGAATCAATGATGACTGGGTACACTTTGCGTATCACTATCAAGAACCTAGGCTTCAACTTTTGCGGAATTACTTGGAAGTGGATAGTCACTGCCGATTGGATCTAAGTGCTGAGCACCAAATCAACCTGCCACAAGCTTGCCAAAGTTATCCCCCGGGAAGGGCGGTGGCGTATATTTTGCCATGCAAATGCTGTCCGTGCTCAGCCATATTCTGCTTATAAGCGGGCTCAGCAGACGGGCCCTACAGGCGTACGCGTAGCCTCAACTGATCATTTTAGAAGTCACAAGATCGAAAGTGTGATGTGATTGCTGTCCACTCCATAGCTGACACTGTCACGTTGGGAAAATGTAAGACTGAAAGAAGAAAAACTGGCAGTTGGATTATTGGTTCCAGAACAGTTTTTTTTTTAAATCACTCTCCACAACTCACTGGGTTTGACGTATATGTTGATAAAACAGAATCAGTTCTGAAAGGAACTAAATTATAGTTTTTCGTTGATTCCATCAAACATATAACTGCAATGATAGAATAGGAGTGATCTGAAGAGGGAAGAGTCTATTTTAACAAGCAATTTATTTCAAGCAACCAAAAGTGGCTCTGTGTTAAACAAACTGTAAGTGTATATCAAGGGCTTCTTAATACAGGCATCTGTAAATTAAATTTTGCACAGAAATTAAGATTGGGCGTATTAAATTGCACATGAAATAAAAACTGGTGGTTTTCTGTAATTATGAACAAGAACAAAAAATAGTATACTACAGCCTTAATCACAAATTATGTATTTACAAGATTTCTTGAAGAAATGGACTAAAATAAAATTATAAAAATGGGATGGCAAGGTGTAATTTATCTACTACAAGAATTTGTAAACATTTTACATCATGGATGATATTAACACAAGTTTAATAACCTTTTCTCTTTCTCTATTCTCTTTCACGTATTTCTGTAATATTTTAATCAAACAGCATGAAATGTTTATGAGGGGTACCGGTTTGTTTTTGATTTTTTAATTATTACGGGTATTACTGGCGTTACAAAGTGAGGTACCTGAATACTTGTATCGAATTTCAAAATCAAAAGTCCAAATTTTCATCCTGATCCCCAGACCATGAGAGAACTCTATGTACTGTACTTGACTAAAAGCAAACCACAGGAACATTCCCCATAGACGGTTATCCAGTACTTTAAAGACACTGGGTGAGATTTTGAACCCACAGTAATGTAACGGTTTGGGAGATTTCTCTGTTATTTCAGATGATGACAAATGGGGGAGAAAAGTCGATATGAAATAGAAGAATGGTATACACTGCACACTCAACTTTTTCTGCCTCGTGAGTTGGAACTGTAAATACATGTATATATATTTTTCTTCTTTTTTTCCTTTCTTTTTAAGCTGAAGAACGTACATGTAAATGTATGTACATGTATGTAAATGTATATAATTTGAACCTTCTCTGACATATGATTTGGCATCATAAATAAATGTGATTCTGGAGCAAATGAGCAAAAGTACATGTATATGTAATATAAGAGTATTATTTACAGGCTAAACTTAATACAAAATTCTACACTTGTACCTTGTAAGGTTTGTCAGTGACGTAGTACTGTCTATTTGGTCCTCCATACATGTACATTTCTAATCTACAATCTGCAAGAACATGTGCATGTTTGTCAAGTCAAAAGAGGTTATCCGCGAATAAATCATGTTTTAACTGATAATGTGTTGTAGTGTCTCATGCCTGAATGCAGAGCCCAATGCATGGACATGTACTGTACATGCATGTGTGTTTCACTTCAGGACATCGTCGAGCGAGGAAGCATCAACCATCCAGGCCGTGTTTGAGCTGCGACCACTCTGGTCATTTTCCCGTGTACATGTACATGCAAATCGTGCACAAAAGAGTACCGATTACCAGGCAAAAAAACAACCACCATTGACCAACTGTGGCTGATCAAACACCTTCGAAAGTCCTTGGGATAGTGACCCACGAAGCCCACTTTGCTTCCACAGACCTAAACACCCTGCGTTTTTGCCATCATGGTAATGAAATCCGTTTTAATGGGGCTCCTGTTTATTCGTGAATGCGGCAGAAATTTGCATTATCTTTCGAGCTTCAAAATCTGCAACAAGTGTCTCTCTTTTTAGTCAATATTAAAGCTTGAACATGATAAATTTACTGCATGAGAACAAACTCGAACTTGGCAAAAATCCCTACCTACAAGTATGACTCCTACCCGAGATAACAGAATTTTACAGCGTATTATACTTGCTATTGTTTGAAACATTTATCACGCAATGAAATATGTACATTCTTTCCTTGGTTAAAAAAAATTGTAGAATTCTCCAAAAATTACATCAGAAGAGTTTGAAATGCTACATTGTAAAATTCACAAAGTCATTCACAAAGTCTTTCACGCAGTGCATGCAGAATACAAGTTTAAAAATGAATCAAACTATGGAAAAACTTTCAAATACAATGCAACATTCACTATTTGCAATGACCTATTGAGAATATTTCAGTGGGTCAGTTTGGATTCATTAGGCAAGTCAAACGGTTGAATAACCAACAATTCGTAAATGTAATTTAACAAAGTAATGCATCAAATGTGCAGAAAAGCATTAGTCTATTTTCAATGGATCTCTTTCATCAAAGCCGATTCCCATCATTTCTTGCATAAAAGCCAATGGGGGGGGATTCTGAGCAGACTACAGACAGAATCAGGCATTAACATAGGGAGCTACTGCCAAGTGGCTATCTCAGAAATTGAGTGAGGGTCGCATTTACACGTAAAAAGTCTCACTTTCCACCCAGTCCTTTCGGAGTGATAGAATTGTACAACCTTATCACAGAAGCTTTGTAGCACACATACATGCAAGTTTTAAAAAAATCTCCTGCTTCAACCTTTTACTCTCATTTTTTGCGCGCGTTCCTCATGCCGCACACTCTATATTGCTTAGTGACCGTTAACAATCTTCACGTGTAGCCCAACACCAGAAAACGGTTTTGGCACTTCTGACGACCCACTCGATCCTACTCCCATTGCGGAAGTGTTTCCCAAAGATGGACCAAACTTTTCAACCCAGAAGGCACACTCCCCTCCCAATAAAAGCAGAAAAAACAAATCTTGCTCTTCCAGAGTACGTAGGATAACCCTCATGCTAATGACTGGACCCCACAAAAGAACTACATCAACGGCACACACTCTGCTGCATAAAGAAAGAAACACATACCGGCACAGTATACTCTTTACCGCTTTGGACAGGTGTGCTTGCAAACATGGCCCAATGTCTCAAACACTGCTGGGCAGAATTTCTGTGCCGAGCAAAGAATGAGTGGTGAACCAGTCTCAAGTAATACACTTTGTATGATGCTTTGGCCGGTAAGTGGTAACCGCTGGCAGGTAACCGTTGGCTGGTAACCTGGTTTTGCTTAGCAAGATTCTGCACTTTGAGCACTTTTGCAGAACTGCTCTAATGAAATATGCACATGCCCATACTCCATCACTGCCCTTCCCTAAAACTTGTGGGTCGGACACACAGAGCGCTGTCCACCATGTCTGCGACCAGTCCTATGATTACATGGTAAAGACTCAGCCTATGTTCCAATAGAATGCTATGGCTTGGAGTGACACATGTGCCAGTAGGGAGGTGCAGCAGTCACAAGGCTAGTGGCCTCCATAGGCAAGTGTACCATTTCCAGCCGCAGCCACAACTTTTGGGCTAGGCCTTACAAGGTCAAAGTGCACACCACCATTTTGGAGATTCGATGATTCACCAGTCTTAGTACCTTCATTGTCCAATGTGTTCAATTACTTCCCCCACCTAATACTCATACAAAGTCAACTGCCAAAGTTGCCAATCAGCCAAGTTGGTTACTTTGGGGAGTACCCCAAAAACCAAAGCAAATAGCCAAGTAAGTTCTGTAAAAGAGAGACCAGACACATGATGATGTGGATGTCCATTGCTTTCGACAGTTGAAAATGATTTTGCAAAGGTGATCTTCAAATGACCTCTAGGCCTAGCTAGGCACCTCAAATAACCCAACATTACTATCAATTATTTCTGGTAGTAAAACCAAGGATTCCTCAAAAGCACCCTAGGCACAGTAGCTCGCAAGCCTAAAGAAGCCTGTAGAGAGGAGACAATGAGAAGAAGTTATAGTTTTAGAAGTGAGAGGAAAACCCCAAGGGACTATCCTGGATATACCGGTAATCCACGAAATCAGATAAGGACTGAAAACCCAATTCACCTGTGGAGCGAATGGGCAATTGAACCCGGGCCACGCAGATAAAAGGCGAGGAAAGAACCATTACCCCAACTGGACTCCTCGTAATCAGTTGCTTATTACCACATACTGCTCATGCCCTTCTTAACACCTATGGCAAACACCATGGGTAAGCGCGAGGAAAGTAATTGAACACGCCAATCAGCACTCTCTCTCCAGATGTGTTTGGTTAGGAAACTTCTTAATGGACCTTTCCCATGAAATATGCAAATAAGGCCGTCACATGCGTATTACTACCACTGGTTGGCAAAGTTGCTTAAACCTACATGTATGACGTAACAATACAAATCTCCATGCGTGCGTCACTATCGCCGTTTCTGAACTAGTATAGTTTGACATGAGTGCCAAAGACGAGGAGTTGTTACTTTCCAACCTCAGGACACTAAAAACTTCACCTAGTTTCGAGAAAAGTGTGCTCAAGTATCGGGCAAAGGCTGTAATATGATTTTGATTGACCGTCAACCCTCCAGGTTATGGTTACCAGCAGCTCGCCTATGCTACCAACAGCGTTGACGGCCGCACTTGCCAACCAGTGGTAGTAGCGCGCATGCGCCAGTCAAATTTGCATATTTCATGGGAAAGGTCCACTCTCCAGTAGATTCAATGTCACGTTCTCTGTATGATGAAAGGGCATCCAGTTGAATGCGGAGAAACAGGCTGGGCTCTACTCTTTGCCATCCAGAAAAGGCTTCAAAAACTTCCTAGTGGATTTCTGGTAAGGCAGGTGTACAGGAGCAGTATAGATGACCAGGGGCTTGTTTGCCAATTCCACCATACGCCAAGAAAGATCCATTCCCGCTGACATGGCTGATGTGCACACAGTGACTCGTTTGCATCGTTGAAATCACTAACGCTCTTTTAGCTGCCACTCAAGCTGAACGATTCATCCCACTGCCCAATTTCACTTCTGACATAAGGATCCTAGCATCAAAGCGCCAACGTTTGTCCGCCTAGCGAGCGATTAAGGCAGGATCTGAATTCCCAACTTCATGCCTTCCTTTGTGGGTCTGAGCAGTAACAACATGACCGTGTGTGCAGAAGGGTGCAATAAAAGCACACCAGTAAATGCAACAATAAATCCATGCAGACAGCTTCCAAGAGTGCACCAGGCAGAAAAGTGTTTCTTTCTTTGTTTCAATTTGTTTGGGTGAGTTCGGGTCCAACGGGTGGGATCTGGTTAATAGCCCGTGCGCTCCTCTGCCATGAACAGCGCTATCCGTTTACACAGCTCTGTGTCCGTCTCCTGGGGGAACAGGCAGACCTCGTTCTGCGTGGTGGCCACCACTTTGTAGAGCCGTTGAAAAAGGCTGCACTTGCGGCCCCGCGTCTTCTTCAGGTTGGAGATGAAGATGTACTTGTCCAGGTACGTCTCGGCTTGCTCCACAAAACGGGTCGAACGAGTTTTCTGCATTCAATCAAACCCAGCACAAATTTTGCTTTAAGAAGTGATAACCTGGTTTTGCAAAGGCAGTCATTACAGGTACTTTTCTGGGTACATTTTGGCATCCAGGAGATCCATAACATTGGCTCCGGTAACAAGATAATCTAGGGCTAGGCACTGGATGAGATACTAAAGTACCTGGCCCAGGATCTCAGAAAACATTTCCATAAAGGAACCAGTGGGTGACTTTACAAAATTACTTGCTAACTTGAGGAAAAACGGTAGAAGGCTTTGAAAGGTTCTTGGCAGGGATATTTAATAATAAAATTATGCAATGCTCACATAAGATTAGTCTGACGGTTGCTGCCAAGCTTTTTAGTAGTAGGCAGAGTCAGTAAGGATACGTTTTCACATTTGCGTTTTGTTCTGTTTTGAGTTTTGAAGACAGACTTCTCTCACATGTACCCTGGTACCCTTGTTTCACCTCAATAGGGAACCCATTTACATGTACATGTATAGTACTACCGATAAATGTTGATCACTTAAAAAACGAATAAGTAACAGAAATGTACAACACATAAATGCTGCAAAGTGCTATGCTGTAGTTGGCTACAGCGACCTCAATTATGTAAATGAAAAACAATACAGGACCTGATGTTTTAGTACCAGCAGAGCCTCTAAAAAAGGCAACAAACTTCCAAGAAAGATTTCCCCTTTGCCTCTGGAAAAAACTTTGGCAAAATCAAAATGTCAGGCCCTCTTACATTTTTTATTTAAAAAAAAAAGAGCCAAACCCTGCGATCTAGAGCTGCCAGGGATTGACGAGAAACAACTTTCTTTAGGCAATGCTGAAGATTCAAAGTAAAGTGCGCCACCAAGTGGTTGCCATGGACATGCCATTCAAGTTTACGGTCAACAAAATCGAGGCTGGCATATCCAATTCTCATTCGAAAGAATGTCAGTAGACAACTTGATGATGGATCTGGGCTTTCCTTCCAAAGGAAGGAAGAGGGGATTTATTAAAACCAAGAGTCAAATACACTAATGCTTCATCTACCTGGAGAATCAGACATCAGGAATAATAGGCCTTGTACTGATGACATCACACTTTGTTTACATCGTTCACTTTCCTGTGGAGCCAGTCGGGGCCCATGGTCCACTGAGCACCATAGGAAAGCACATGCATGAAGAAAGTGTGGTGTCATCAGGGCAGAGGTCCTTTCAAGTTTCCAGTGTGCAGCCTACGACTAAAAATCTGCCAACTGTTTCCCACAGTTGCTGCACAACAATTTAGTGCAATCGCCCACGTTAATGGCCTACCCTCTCAGCTGTGTAGGATAAGAGAGTGGTGTCAGTGGCGTCTACTGCGAAGGCCTCCACCAGCGGGGCTGATGCATCAATGTGCCTGCACAGGGCTGCCAGTACTTTGTCCTGTGATGGGGGATAAGAGGAGAGTGATAGTCAGTACCCATGGAACCCTAATTTCCTCTGAGATCAACAATCCTAGACATGCTAGAGTACGGCTTCCTGGCAAACTGCTCATCCCACACTGCTGCAATGCACATACATGTACATGTAAATGTACATGCGCAAATGAATGGGCCCTTTTTGTTAACGTATGGGCACGCATCCCCTCTTGATTGCATGGTCCACCAAGGTCGTCTGATGTGAAGTCCCAGAAAAAACGAGATGCGCAGGGGCATCACCAGGATTCTGCTCAAGTAGAATAATTGACAAACTTTATGAAAATCTACCAGACTAATCACACTTTGAGGCTACAGATCACTAGGAAAAAAACCTGCGATTCATCTCTACTCACAGGAGGGGCGTTACTGTCGTCCATCAGATTCTTGAGAGCTACCAATTGCAGTGCATAGCGGTCCATGTCTAATCCCTCAAAGTCAAGTGCATCTGCGAGGAAAGCAGAATGTACTGAGTGATCGCACTGAGTAAACTTCTGTCAACAATGTCGCCCGTTACCTGCTTGAAGTACCGGTAGAAACAAGAGGGGGAGTGTTGTTCCAAAGTAATGACCGTCCTTTGATGGGAACTCGACGTGCGCATGCATAGGTTCGTGTGCATTCTGTCACGCTGTTCGTAGGTACATGTACATCAAATGGATTTCTGTTTGTACATGTACCGGTATACCAGTATGGTATTTCAGATGCAGCACGTGAGCACACAAGCCCAGGTGTCTCCCCTTTGCCGGTGAGGGCGCACTTTGACTCAGGGCAGATTGTTCATAATCTCTAGTTAACCGAGGGAAGGCCGGAAGACAAGCAACCAAAGGTTCGAGTTTTGATGAGAATGTCCTCTACGTGTACATGCAAGTGGAGAACTGTTCAACAAAATTTTTTTATTTTAATAACAGGTATGCCCTGCGCAAAAAGGATTTAAAAAACTGAAATACAAATTTAATTCATGAGTAACATTCAGATGAGAACAAGTGTCAACCCACAGAAAAAAGCAGATTTTGACATGCATCCAGTTTGGTGTCCTACAAAAAATCTTGCAGATCTCGCAGTTGTGCCATGCACCGAAGAGCACATAAATTACCAGAAATGGATAACGAAGAATTTACTCCACTTGATTTATGTGTTAGGTTGAAAGAGCCAAAGACAGTTCCCAACATGCAGTAAAAGCAGACCCTCAGCGGATTTGGTTACAGAGAAGATGATTGTGCTGCATGATGCCCAGTTCTTTACAGCAGATACACCTGCCCTTGTACATCAATTTATGAGCAGTTGGGCAGAACCTTCTATGCTTCAATCTTCATGGGAGACTCCCAGTACATGTACTAAAATAGGGCTGGCTGATTTAAATCACCTTGATTTACATCACCTATTTAAATTGCAATATACATGTAAATCAAATGATTTTTTTGAAGAAAACACTGATTTAAATCAACATATTTTAATTAAGGGGAAAAAATGAAAAAAGTTTCAATTGTTAAATTCTTTTTTGCTGATTGGAAGTGTTTGCAGGTTAAACAACAAATCATCCCTCTGTGAGCCTTCTGGTTCCTACTTGTATTAACGAAGTAGGAATGCACATGTGTTACACACAATCTGGGTTGGCAAGATATTTTGGTTCAATTCAATCCACTTGTTTTGATTTAAATCAGCTTTTTGGATTCAGAAGGTGAATTTGATGTGAAGGATTTATAATCACGATTTAATTTTACTTCATTTGAATTGCCCACTTCAGAGTTTGACATTGTAAAGTATCAGTGTACAGCGTACATCTACCTTTTATATACAGGTACATGTACATGTACATACTGAGATTAGAAATGTTAGTCATTATGCAGTGTAACTACATGTAAAACCACTAAATACCCTTAATGAAGTGATTGTTAACCAAGCCTAAGTCATTACTCTGTGGAGCTGGATCACAAACAAAATGAGACTGCTTTTTGCACACATCAGAGCAAGGTAAAATACCAGCATTTTTTACCTGTACCTGTACATACAGCATGTAAAATAAATACATGCACCTGTTGTTCCTGGCATGTTTCTCACTCATTAGTCGTTTGATGCATGTATAAGTACCCAGTTAACAAATTCTTGTAAACTCTAACGTAGTTTTTGTCAAAACTTGAGAGTTTGGTTTAAAACCTGGTACGCATTTATCCTTGGTACTGTACATGTACATGTACTTGCCTCAAAGGGAAGTGTCTTTCTTTGTGGGAACATGTATCAGTAGGTGTTATACTGCATGCACTTCGTCTGTGAATTTAATCAAGGGTTAATTAATAAATTTCTTAATTCAAATCCAAATTTGTGTAATTTTTTAACAAAACAAATAAATAAAAGAAAACAATTACACGTGGAGCTAATTTGCTTGCTTTTGAATAGACAATTGAGCCAACATGTCTCCAATTTTTATAAATATAAAAAAATCTGATCTAAATAAAAAAAACTGATTTAAATAAAAAATCTGATTTTTTAAAATCCTTTTTTAAATAAAAAAAATCAACAACCCTAGTATTAAAAGCAAAGCTGTCATCGGCAGTACATCTAGTTTTATCCTCAATGAAAAAAAAAATTGAATTCTGTCTGTGGGCACTGCAGGTGATGTTCATTTCGCACAAGGAATCAAAGACACCTGCATGCGCTGTGTACAATGTACAGTGTACATGTACACGTATGTACATGTAAGTTGTCATTTTCCATTGAATCCTATCCGACCTCTGGCACCACCATCACCAGCAGGGGGTGGGATCGGAGGAAAGCGCAGTATTCACAGAAGAATCACCAGACAGTTTGAGGGCCTCACGGCAGCGCAGGGTCTATGACATACATGTACTGGTACATTGCTGTTGGCATAAAGGTACCTTTGAAATGCATGTACCTATTATTTGTGTTCTACCAGTATATGTGTGTCAACTTTTTTATACAAAATAGTAAAATCGCTGTCATTAGAAACAAGGATTTTCCAGACTTTGAAGATTTGGAAAATCCTGAAATCAGGACAAAACTGACTAGAAAATTCTGAAATCGGAAATCTCTCTTGATCGTTTCATCTGAAAAGCCATCGTGCATGAGCAGAACGTCTACATTCCAGCAGGAAGTGGTCGCGCACACCCAGCACCTCCTGTCAACTAGCATAAAACCTGCGCGAACGCAGTGTACATGTACAGTGTATATTCCACCGAATGGCAATCGTTGCTATCGGTATGCGAAAGCGTGCTGTCTCTTAACCTCACAACGAGGGGATAACAAAGGCTTCTGGGCACTGCAATCTGTGAGTCATGCTTTCATGGCGGCCTATTTTGATGCAAACACTTTGCAGAGCAGGGCAGGGCACTGCATGTGGATCCCGGCTTAACCACTTGCCGAAGGTATTAATTCCATGTCATGCTAGTCCCGGGCTAGCTTTTGTATTCAGCTGAAAATTTTTAAAACCACAGGGTACTACAACCACAGATCATTTCAAAGGTGGACTTGGCAAATGTTGACTCTTGCAGGTCATTTGTTCCAAGAGTTGTCGACAGACATTTCTTACTGCATTGTCGCTTTCTTAATTTTCTGAGAGAGACTACATGTGTGTTTGCTACAATGCCTGACCATGGCCAACGGCCGTTTGAGGGCGCCACACACACTCAACCTCCATGGACTGGCTAGCACCTGTGTGTACAAACTCAATGGGAATACATGTAACTCAAACACTTGAGAGGGTGTATCGAATCATGTGGCACAAAAAATTGCTGCAACATATTTAAACGTCCTCCACATTTGACACAGGAAATCCCTAGATATTTAGATTCGGTGTAAAGCGGTCAAGAAAACTACTCACCAAAAGCAAAAATGACGACGGTGTTCACCGTCCTGATGGGTTCCAGCTCCAGCTGATGGCCGAAGAAGTCGCTGACCCGATGCCAAATGAGGTCGGCCACTCCACACGCCACGTCCACCGTCACCAGGCGGCCCGACGACGCAAAGTAGTGGAGGAAGTGCTTCACGCTGGCATTGTAGAGAGCGTTACGTCTCTGCAAGTAAACAAAGAAATCAATACCGAATCTTGCATTCACCGTTTCCATGCTGCAGTGACACCACCCCCAGTTCACTGTTTGCATTGGGTAAGAACAAACCTCATTCATTGGTCCACGTGGAAAATGGAAAACAAATAGTTTAAAAACTTTGACAGCAGAAATGAAACAAAATGCAAATTCATGACAAATTGTAATCCTCATCAGTAGTTTCAAATTTGGGATAAATTGTGCCAACCACGCTGACAACCGTCTAACCTGCGTTCTGCTGGTGTCTGCTTCGTCACTCTGCCCAGCCTCTTTCATCTTGTCGGGATGCTTGGCGCTGTGGGCCGTGATCTGCTTGATGACTTTCTCCTCAGGAATAGCCAGATTCAAGGCAAACACGTTGTGGAACTGCAAACACAAACCAAATCACGGTACAGGCATCTTTGTACACACGGAATCACTAAAAACCTACACCTGCACAGTACATGTGTACAGCCTGCCAGCTCTAGAGACAGATTGTCTGGCCTGTGATGTACTGTACCGGTACATATGTAATTCTCCTATTACTCTCACACAACGTTGGTGAATTCTTTTGGCTAAAATCCTGTTTTTTGTAACAACTTCTACATGTATTAAATAAGGGCCTGTTCATAACAAATGGATGTGGGTTACGATCAGTGATCCCAAAGCTGGTTCGCTCCATCCATTAGGTACATTGTACATGTACCATGGTTTTGGTTGTCAGTAAACCAATGATGGATCATTGATCGCGATTGGGAAGAAACAGGCTCTCAGAATCCAAGTGTACCGGTACATGTACCAACAGGACTCCCCTGGGCATGCACATGTACATGTACATACATGTACACTGTACTGTACACGTTTTCCATCAATGCATTTGCCTCCCACTATTCCTACCTCAAATTGTCACAAATATAAGTAAGGACATGCTCATTCTCCCATGTAAGCAAACAAAGCAATCTTGAGTTACTCAAATTGCCCCAGCCGGGTCAAGAGGTCCCAACCGGTACATCAATTAAATTTGCACAATGAAGCCAGACGGTCAAAATCAACAACTCTAGACAACGTTCAAACACATACAGTATCTGGCCTTTCTTTTACAGAAATTTAATGCAGTTAATTTGAGTCATTTGCCAAAGTACTCAACAACTGTATTTTTCATATATCGGTATTACATGTGAGTAGCGGTATATCTACCGGGTATTTACAACTGTGTCAACTTCACTTCGCAACGTTCGACGCAAGTGTGTGCACTTCCAATGTACATGTGTTAACTGCTAAATGCGGATCAATTAGTCGGGCTAGGTGTCAGTAACATTAAGCGCCCGAAGCCATGTGAGTGTAACATCAGATGTACTCTAGCTCACGTGATTTTAAAGCATGGGGAAGTACTGTAATACACTGTAAATGGCCATTCTGGGTTACACTTAAAAGAGTTTTAAGAAAATACAATAACTTTCAGTATTTTATAAAAAAAATGAACATTTCTGTCTGATATCACACATACCGGTATAACCAACCTTAATTTGACCCCTGACCAAAGTGGCAAAGTTAAAATGAAAAAAATTAATAACAATTTTTAAATGGGGTTAGTACCGGTAGATTAATATTAAAGGGGCCATGTAACAGAAATATTTTATGGAATTTTACTAAAATCCTTGAAATTGCACCTTTGGGTTCCAATAAACCTTACATGTATTGTAAGTTATTGTTTTACCATTCTTAACCCAGATTTTGGAGCTTTTCTGTTTTATGCTAAATTTGCATGCTCATGAGCCAAACTATGATGTCATCCAAGGCACTGAAATGCAAAGTTGCACTGATTTGTGCATAAGAATGTCTAGTTAGTTTACATCACTACTATTGTAGATTTTATTTTCTTTGACAATTTACTGTTGTGTACCGGGCAAGTTCATGGCAATGAAGCCAGTGTGCAACCTTTTTCAAAAATGTTGTCACATAGCGAATTTCAAATTTACAATTTGAACATGAAAACAAACAAACTGAGCAGAGTCTTCCTGGATTTACGGCAAAAGCGCCCCCATTAGTCTGCATATGCTTGGTCAGTATTGGATGTTCAAAACGTGCACTTTTCAGTTCTCCCAAAGCCCCCCCCCAAAAAGATTCCATACAGTCTTCATACATACACATCAAAGAAGAGTAAAGACATAAACACAAAAAAAGATTCTTAGAAAAATGCACTGCATGGTTCCTTTAATGGCATATTGGAATCAATATGCCATTTTCAGAGGCCAAGGAAGGATGTCAATCATATTTCCTCAAGTTTTTTGTCACAACCGTAACCAAGAATGATCCTATAGACTAATCCGTAACTGCCGGTGGCACCGCACTCATACGCTCATTCTTCAGCTTGACGCGCGCGCATTTGGCAAATCGCCAAACCCGATTGGTCGAACGTAACACATGCACATACCACCTGTCCACGAGAGTTGCGCCACTGCAGTAATGGCTCCTTATTCTGGTTATCAAATTACACTATAAGCATGATAAGCCGTTCACTTGAGGTGAACCTTAATTGTGCTTTCGGGGATAATTCAAGGTCATGTGACTTTAGTCTTTCTGCAGGTCACTTCTTACCCTTTTCTCAAAGTTCTTCATGTCGTATTCCGGATCCTGAATGTACTTCTCACAGCGCAGCAGGAAGCGCAGGTTGGGCATGATATCAATGATGTGAGGGCGCTTTGGGTCTTTCTCAATCTCATTGCCGATCAGATCAAGTATCCACTCCAAGGACAAGAGTGACTGGTTGTCCTGGGGATGAAAAAAGAACATAATCAATCAGATAGATCCAGATATATTTTGTAAAAATGTGTGAGATGGGCTCTTTGGTTGCGAAAGAGTTCAACAAATTGTCCAGGCATCTGAAGGTCACGTTCAATCAGCTACACACTGTCAACTAATGGTGGATTAAGCCAGGTACCCAGGTAACATTGTCCATTCTGTACATATACAGGTACCAGTACATGTAGGTTACCAGGGAAAATTGACCAGTGGTCGGCAAAAGGTTTCTCACCAAACTTGGAGTGCATATTTCTTCACTTGCTAGTCTTTAAAATACCATGTTGTATAAATTAAACCATACACATATGCAGACATCCTTTCAAATGATGTACATGTATGTACATTGTAGTTCTGTTCTGTGAACCAGAAATCTACAGTGTCCATGTACACTGTACATGTGTACTGCATTAATGCAAAATATTTTTACACAGACAGTACATGTACCGCCTGTACAGGTGTATACATGACGATTTCAAAATTCAATTTTCATGGCCTGTCTACATGTACACCTTACACTGTACTTAAGAGCTGTATTTTTTTGGCGGGGGACTTAATTACAAAAAAAACTTGTACGGCAAAAAAGTCTTGACTGGATGTAAAGTTCATCCCTGCAAGTACCTGAGTACTGTATCTCACTTCCAGAGCAGTGTAATATATATGCCGCCCATTATCGCTGACACACATGCCCCGCTAATCTTTAATTTACCGCACATGCAAGTCCGCCTCGTCTTCTAGCAGTCGCCGACTTGTAATCGAAGGGCAATACTCCTCTGTCAGTCATCGCCCACTTAACCTTTCATAATTTTGCAGAGGACAGAGAGCCTGGGAGGACAGATTGCGCACTCATCACCGAGCCCTCTTATCAAGAGTCCCAAGAAATGGGATGATACTGGTGCGGTACATCGGCAATTGAGAGAGATTGTCTGCAGTCTGTATATTTTGATTAATTGGGCTTTTATCATGCAGCAGGCTTTTCATACAGTGTACAATACACATGTAAATGTATACATGTATGTACGAGTACATTTAAACTGGACACGTACCATATACAGTGTACGTATGTCTTTGGATGCTGTTGACGCATATCAGTATAAATTCGATACTGCATAGTACATGTACACATGTATATACCCAACATTTTATCATTTATGCTACATGTACATGTATAAACAGAGGCGGATCCAGGAATTCTTCCGGAGGGGGGGAAGGCGGGTCAAGCCAGAGATTTTTTTTTTATGTCCCATTTTAACGGACAAGTGGAAATGATGATGAAACATTACACTGCACATGTGTATGACATGACATACACTGTTTGCAAGGTGCAATTTCCCTTTATTTCTCTTAATATTTTCCTCATGTTTGTACCTTTAGGGGTTTTTTGTCACAGCAAGGGAAGGGGGGCTCTACTCCCAAATCTCCCATCCCCCTGGATCCATGCCTGAAATGCATTAATTGTACCGGTACATCCCCACTTACAAATGCACATGTACAATGTACGCGTGCATGTCGACTGGATTTACTCATTGGGCTGTATTTGAAAATGGACCAAGTTTGTAAAAATTCGTCCCTTCCCCCTTTACAATTGTTTTCCTATGTACTTTGCAATAAATGTACATGTAAATATACTAGGACACGTACAATGTACATTGTACCGTACATGTAGGCCTACATGTGCAAATGTAATGTAAATGTACAGTGTGCACTGTACAGGAGACCAGAATACACCATGCAGGACAGAATTTATACCACCCCCATCCACCCCCCCAAAAAAAGTTTAACAAATGTTAGAAATCTAATCAGGTGTACATGTACATGTGTAACTAACCCTGGAGAAATACAGGTACATTGTACAGGAAAGAGTTTCCAGCAGACCCAAAGATACTGGCACTGATAATGATAACATGTATGTACATACAGAATGGAGGATGTACATGGACATAAAATTTGGAAATGAAAGAGGAAAAAAAATTGAAATCCTATGAAATGCATGTACGGTAGAAAAAAATCATGCCCATCAACTTTCACAAAAGCCATCCCCAATTAACATGTACATGTACCAGTACCATACTGGCAAAAGTACCGTACATGTACCATACATGTACATGTTACATGTACGAGTATGTATACATGTACATGTGTGCACAGTATGATCGCTTTCATTAATTGGATCATTTTGCTCAATGCAGAGTTACAATCGTCAGCAGCAGACAGGCTTATCAGAATATCAGGCATGTACATGTATATGTACGTGGACCTGTATCGTGTATGATACAATACGGCGGCACATGTAACATGTATGACCTCGGCTGTCACAGATGCATCCAGGACCCCAGGCAGTGCGTGCAGTGCACAGGCCAGACCATCAACAAATCTGTAACCACCCCTCCCTCCCTTGAAAAAAATGCACACAATTTACCGCTCATTAATCTTTCAGCACACCGCAGCTGTACTGTTCCTGAAGCATTCGATGCAAAAGAATATCCCTGATTATTAAAAACCCTTTCATATTTAATGGGCACTGTGGATTGGTAATTTGAAGGGGGTGGAATACTGTACATTAGACTTCATTAATCAATTCTGGCTTTTGGTGCAATCTGATTTGATGAATTGTGTCTCCAAATTTTCCTCCGGGAAGTGTAAGTAAATACCGGTACATGTACACGTACCAAGATCTGCAGGTATGCACAATGAGGTACATGTACATGTAATATGAACATGTATGATGACATGTAAATGTAAGTGCGTACAGATACAACATCAAAACTGTTGAAAATTTCCAAAATTCGGAATCAATACCACCCTTTACTGTACTGGTGACGCAAGAAGTGGACAAGTCTACATGTACCTTACACCAGGCCCACAGTATGTGCCAAGCCTGTATGAATTCCCACACATTTAGGCACTGGTACACGTAAATGTACATGGATAATTCCAGAAATTAGGGGTCCATTATTTCGTGTCCCTGTCACATCCGACACGATGTAACAGGGACAAAAAAAGTCACACTTTTGGACCCCTAATTTCTAGAATTACCCATGTGTACTGGTAGCTGTGTACGATGCATCCTACATGTACATGTACATCTACAGGTACATGTACATGTGCGGGTAGGGTCTCGTATTGGCCTATACATGTACATTTACAGCATGTGCAGTGTACAAACTAACGTACACATGTACATCACTGCACGTAGCGTACACGTACCTGGTACAATGCGTACGGTACATAAGTCAGTATGTACATTGTACACGTACAGAACTTGTAAATACTCTGACTTTTTTCCTGACGACAAAACTGCACAATTATGACTCGCTACAGTCTGAACAATGGTACCCAGGTACACACTGCTCAAACACGCACAGTTAACTCTGGACATTAATCTAATAATATCCCCTCCCACCCTGACTGCAACTCCCTATCAAATGCACAATATACCAGTACACATGTATATCAGAGTGGTGCTTCTCGAGCAGCCATCCTCATGTCCTCCCGCAGGGGAAACGGGACGGTGGTATTTGCATTATACAATATATATGTTAGTCCGTTAACGCAGCTATGAATTTCATAAATAATACAAAGGTCTTGGCTTGCACTACAGGGGGCATACACCGGCACTGTACAGCATGTACGGGCATTGCTGCCAGCAATTGCAAATGATGCCATTAACACGGTATCTGGTGAAAACTAGACAGCACTTCAGGGACACGCGATCCACAATTAAGGCTTCTGCCTGCAATTTGCTCACGTGTGATTAACCTTTCAGTATAAAGTCATGATTGTTTTAACAGGCCCGCCAGATCAATATAATTATATTTGCATTGCAGCTGAGAGCCTGTTTTACAGATATAATGTAGAGGTACATGTACATGTAATTCACGAGCCACTGTGATTACAGTCGACTGTAGGCGTACATAGACTGCACATGTACAGTACTTGTACAGGCCTGTACTAACCTTAAATACCTAATGTGGACTTGTGAACAAAAGATGTCCACACGATGCAGGAAAGGAAGACGTTCTGTGGACTTACACATGTCCACGGGACATTTCCCCTTCTCTGAAAAAGAAGTTGAGAGGCATCTTGGGGTTGGGGCCATCCGTCATAAAAGGAAGAGGAGTAGTCAAGGAAACCTTGTACAAAAAGCCAGCTGAAAATCATGGTCCCACTTCAAGAAAAACAAGTTTTTTTACTGAGTTTTCTTCACTGCACGAAAAAAAAGGAATGTCCACACTACATGTAGGTATGTAAGGTAAGTGTGGGTGTAAATGTACATGTATGTGTTGATTAAACTGCTTGTGTGCTGGGATGTCTTTGGGCATGTTGGGATGTCTTCCATCCTGCTTATTACCAGAAAAATACATGTACATGTATACGGGGTATTGGCAAATGTACTGTCCCTGATCACACACTATCCGCTCCGAGCAGAACAAAAGAGGGCTTTTTTTTTTGGTACTCACCACACAGGCGCACCATGAGGTGCGCAATTATATGCGGGTTTGACACGGAGCACACTGAATACGCGTAACTACATGTAAGTTATTCTGGCTTGTATGGTCTTTGCGTACATGCAAAACGCATGCAAGAACCCACTTATAAACCACCTGTCTTTCTTTCACCAATTAGGCAGTTAGGGGTGCGCTTCAGCTTGGGGCAGATTACATTTACAATCGGATCATCAACCTTACAGGCCACTTTGGTGCCAATATAGAAAACACCAAAAACTTAAGGGAAACCTCAGACCTATACAGCATGCAATGCAAGTGTAGTCATGGTAGTGATTAACCCTAACACTCCTCAATCCTTCACCCGTTGGAGGACTGAGACTGACAAACACTGTCAGTAAAAGAAAAAGTCGATGAATTTACGAAATTATTGATTCATCAAATATTTTGACATCGTGTGCACATACCGTACACTTACCGGTTACATATTGTACATGTATACAAAAGCTTTCAGGGAAAGTAACCCAC